TAGAAGCTTACGTATTGTTGTGATGCTGAAAGTTACACCACTGGTATTTCAAATAGCAGCAGGGTCACCTGATGGATGGACAGGTTTCAGTGGAACTCTCAGACTAAAACAGACAAGGAAAAAAGGCTTGGATAGTTACATCTGAAAATTAGCCAATGAAACCCATTGTCATCAAATCAATTCTCACTCACAGTGACCCTGTAGGCAGAGTAGAACTGCCCTACAGGGTTTTCACAGAAGCAGACTGCCACATCTTTCTCCCAAGGAAGAGCTAATGGATTTTAACAAACAACCTTTCAGTGCTTAATCACTGCACCAACATGGCTCCTCTAGCCAGTGAAAATAGATTTTTTAAAATGTCAAAAGTCCATTGGTATACAGGATTTCTGCCTTCTGGAATACATTTTTTATGTCAGCAGTTAAAACCAAGCCACGATTCAATTGCGCATTATAGTACGTGCAGCCAACGATGACACATTTCCACACTTTTATTTTCTGTTTCAGGCCGCGTGGTGAATATCAGTAGTTTGCAGGGTTCAAAAGCTCTGGAGAACTGCAGAGAAGACCTGCAGGAGAAGTTCCGATGCGAGACGCTCACAGAGGAGGATCTGGTAGACCTCATGAAGAAGTTTGTGGAGGATGCAAAAAACGAAGTGCATGAGAGGGAAGGCTGGCCCAGCTCGGCGTATGGTGTGTCCAAGCTGGGAGTAACAGTCTTATCGAGAATTCAGGCCAAGAAGCTTGATGAGAAGAGAAAAGCTGACAGGATTCTGCTGAACGCCTGCTGTCCTGGCTGGGTGAAGACTGACATGGCCGGGGATTATGGCTCCAGGACTGTGGAGGAGGGAGCTGAGACCCCTGTCTATTTAGCCCTCCTACCCCCAGATGCTACTGAACCTCATGGCCAGCTGGTACGGGACAAAGTCATCCAAAACTGGTGAAATTTTGCTCTGGAGCGTAATGCTTAATAAATGTCTGTGGAATGAATGAAGAGATGCTGAGTCCATTTCTGACCATTTTGAAGGAGTGTCGATTAGAATCTGCCCATGAGAAAGATCTCTAGTTCTAGAATCTGAAGCTGGACCACATTTGCTATGCCAAAACTAGTTAGCCCAAGACAGAAAGGAAGATAAGTCTAATGGTTCTCAAATTTTAGCATACAGTAGGATCACCTAGAGGGCTTGTTAAAATAGGTTTTTGGGTCTCACTCCCACTCTCCTGGGGGGTGAAAATGGTTAAGAACTCAACTGGTAATCTAAAAGGTTGGAGTTTTGGGTCCATACAGAAATACCTCAGAAGAAAGACCTAGTAATCTGCTTCCAAAATACTCACCACTGACAACCCTGTAGAGAATGATTTTACTCTAACACATGATGGATGCCACCATATGTTGGAACTGATTACAGGATAACTGGTTTGGGGTATTCTATACGTGTCTCTTTCCTAGAATTTCTTATTCAATAGATCTGGGATTGGACCTGAGAATTAGTATTTCTAACAAGGTCCCTGAAGAGCTGATATGGCATTGTAGGATGAGCGCTGGACTGCTAACTGAAAAGTTGGCAGTTCAGACCCACCAACCACTCCTCAGAAACCCTATACAGAGTTGTTATGAGTCAGAATACACTCAATGACACTCAACAACAACAAGATCTCTGAATGACACAGATGGTTTGTGCTCAACTAATAACTGAAATGGTGCAGGTTCAAGTCTAGCCAAGGGTGCCACAGAAGAAAAGCCTGCCACTCAGTTTCTATAAAGATTAAACTCAAGTACCAAACACTTTGCTGTTGTGTCCGTTCCAACATATAATGATTCCGTGGGACAGGGAAGAACGTTCCTATAGGGTTTAATAGGCTGTAATCCTTTTTTCTCTTTAATTTTCTTTAGTTCTCTGTATATTTTGTTATTGTTGAGAATATATACAGAAAAACATACACCAATTCAACATTTCCTACATTTACCATTT